CTCAGCAGGCTAGGGTTTCCCATCCCTCAGGACCGCTACGTGTACATGTTTGATGGCTCTGTACGGTTGGGCGCTGGGCAGTTCTCTTCTGTTTTCGCCGAGGATGATGATCAGGAGATGGAGGCGGTTGGAGATGAAGTTCAAGGTGATGACGCAAGTCGACCAATGGAGCCGGTGGTGGAGCAGGCTACTTTGGAACCCACGAGTGAGGAAAAGCGGCTTGTAAAGAGAGTTCATGAGAACCTTGGACACCCAGCTCCACGAGAGTTCGCGAGATCATTGAGGCTGGCGCATGTGAAGCCGCACCTGGTGAGATATGCTGCCAAAGAGTTCAAGTGCGCAGTTTGTGATGCAAGGGTTCGCCCCAAACCATCACGGCCGGCGGTCTTACCCAAGATATATGAACCAGGACGAGTCGTCGGGGTCGACATTATTTTCCTGGGCGCCCTCAACAAGCGCGAGACGTTCCCGGCGCTGAACATTGTTGACTGGGGTACATCGTACCAAGTTGTGGAGCGCTTAAAGAACACCGAAGCGACCCACGCATGGCGAACGTTCATGAGGGTGTGGGCCAGGACGTTCGGGGTTCCCGACGTGATCGTTGCCGATCTTGGCACTGAGTTCAAGGGCCAATTCGTTGACTTGGCTTCCCAAGCAGGCGCTTTGGTGCGCCATACCGCGGCGAGATCGCCATGGCAGGCCGGCAAAACCGAGCGAGCTGGTGCCCACTACAAGCAGGTCTATGACAAGGCCCGCGACAGCACCTATGTGAGCACCTCGGAGGAGATTAAGACCTTGATGTACGAGGTGGAGTGTGCCAGAAATCGCTACGGAAATCGCAGTGGGTTTAGCCCAATGCAACGGCAGATCGGCCACAACCTACGTCTGCCAGGGTCTCTACTCTCGGACGACAGTCTGGATCCCTCTCTGGTAGTTGCGAGTGCAGGTTCCGAGATGAAGAAGCTGCTTGAGATTCGAGCTTCTGCTCAAGAAGCTTACATCAAGTCTCAAACTGAGGTTGCGCTGTCCAAGGCGAAGAATGCCCGGAACCGTGTGCAGGTGCAGTTTGTTCAGGGGGACACCGTGTATGTTTACCGGCAGCCACATGTGAGAAAGAGGAAGCATGCGATCACCCCGGAGTCGAACGAGAGCAGAAAACCAGTTTGGGTTGGCCCGGGACTTGTATTGGCTGTGGAAACCCCGAGCTTGTGGATATCCATGAAAGGCGAGTTGTGGAAAGCAAGCTTTGAGCAGTGCAGGCATGCAACCTCGGAAGAGCAGATCGCCAAGGACCTCCTTTCAGGCGAGCTGGAGGCGATCAGAGAGGAGTTGGGGCGTACTACGAATAAAAGGACGTTTCGGGATATGACTTCTCAGGGAGTTCCCGGAGATGACGATCCAGTCCATGAAGGAGCCGAGCGATTTGAAAGTTTGGACGGAAGTTGGCGTGATGAGCGTCCGGCGCAAAGGCAGCGAGTCATTGGGCCCAACGAGGTTCCCATCCCTGATGATGACGAGGAGCTCGACTACTCTCCTAGCGAGGGCGAAGGAGATCCTGTTCCGGCGCAACCTCCAGAACCACGAGGAGATGGTCAGGAACAACCACAAGGAGATGGTCAGGGACAACCACAAGGTGACGGTCAGGATAGGGAGATGAGTCGCAGGACCACTGAGACGGAGCCCGAGCCGGGTCCCCATCCTACACCAGAGGAGGCAGCTCAGACGGCGCAGCAGGTGATGCGTAATGAGAGGCTGGACGGGAATCCGCCAGGAACTCCCACCTATGAGGCTGCCACAGGAGGATCCTACAGCATCGTCCTGAGTCACGTCACCAGCCCTACTACTCCGAGAAGGTTGAAGTGGAAGCGGCCACGATGTGGTTTTCTTTGGAAGGAGATAAGTGGACGTGGGAGCCCGACGTCTGGGAGGAAGTCAGTAAGGACATTGTCATCAGGCAGCACAACTTCCCTCGAAGACAGTTGTGCAACCCTACAAAAGTTCGAGGAGCCTTGATGCCGCGCAGGTTGAAGCATCGAACTACGTACATGGTGTCCGACGATGGCGAGGTTCAAATCCAGAACGACAACTGGTTCAAGAACCGCAAGAAGAGTTCGAAGACTTCGAGTACCTGGGTTGGATTCACCGTGTTCAGTTCGACGGAGATTGATGCGAGGTGTTTTGCGAGCGGCAAAAACCGGGGACAGGGCGAGGTCTTTGAGCATGAGATCAAGCCCGAGGACTGGCCCGGATGGAGAGTGAGCGACAAGCAGGAGTGGGACAAAGTTTCGCAGACGAATGCTGTGAGAGTGCTCAGTGTTGAAGAGTCCCGTCGCATCCGGAACGACCCGGTGGAGAGCAAGCGCATTCTCCCCTCACGTATGGTGAGGAGGTGGAAACCCGGCGAGCAACCGGGTGATCCGGACATTCGCAAATCACGCTGGTGTTTGCGTGGTGATCGCGATCCGGATATCCTTACGCTGGAACGGTATGCTCCGACCCTCAACTCAACATCATTCGGAGTTCTGCTACAGACTGCGGCGTCGATGAAATACAAAGCTACCGTTGGTGATCTCAAAAATGCCTTTATGCAGTCGTCCCCACTGGTGCGGGAAAAGGGCAACCTTTACGCGAGCCAGCCTTCGAGCGGGATAGATGGGCTACACGCCGAACAGTTGATCCAAATTATCTCGGGGTGTTACGGCCTCAACGATGCGCCGAGTCACTGGCGACGCACGCTTAAAGAAGCGATCGTGTCGTTGGGCTACCAGGAGTCCGTTCTCGACCCTACCGTCTACTACTTGAGGACCACTGACGTTTTGGACGGTGCGATAGCTGTGGAGGTGGATGATTTGTTCGCCTTCGGGAACGAGGTTCATGAAGGGCGAATGTCACAGTTGCGCGAGCGGTTCAAGTTCGGGAAGTATGAGGTCGTTATGGAGTCCGAGACCGGGGTCGGCTTTAATGGACGTCGAGTTCGACAGCTGCCCAACTTTGAGTTTGAAGTGGATATGGAGAAGTTTGTGACCGAGCGACTGGAGCCAGTGGCCTTGGGAAAGGGGCGCAAGGGTGAACTCAAGGCTCTTGCCAACGACTCCGAGATTGCTCAGATGCGAGCGGTTATTGGAGGACTGAACTGGGCAGCGAAAGAGGGAAGGCCCGATTTCGCTGCAGCGGCGTCTTTAGGAGCCGCGTCGTTCCCAAAGCCGACGATCCAGGACGTCGTCGATGTGAATCGGGCAGTGAAGGTGCTCAAAGAGCGCCCGGAGCTCTCAGTGAAGATCAAGGCCATTGATGTGGAACATTTGGCTTGGGGCGTGATTTCGGACGCGAGCTTTGCCAACGCGTATGGGGGGCACAGCCAAGGCGCCTACGGCATCCTGGCCTTCCACGAGGACCTTCAGAAGGGTTGCCGAGTTCCGTGCTCTCTCATTTCGTGGAGAAGTGGACGGATTCAGAAAGTGGTGAACTCTACTTTGGCAGCCGAGACTCAGAGTTTGTCTAAAGGATTGGGCGAGCTGTGCTGGGTTGTGACACTGTTCAACGAGCTTATGGACAAGGACTTCGACCTAGCTCGATGGGAGGAACAGCTCAAGAAGAATAAGGTCCTGGCTATTGCGGCCGAAGAGTCCGATGACCGACTACGAAGCAGTTTGTGCATCATTGATGCCAAGGCCCTCTACGACCACCTGAGCAAAGAGTCCACTGGGCCATCCGCCGACAAGAGGACCGGCTTGGAAATGCAAGTAGTTCGGCAGAATATGAATGCGATCAATGCCAAGATAAGATGGGTTCCACATCCCAGAATGATTGTGGACGGCCTTACGAAGAAGAATGCAAACTTGGAAGCGCTCTACGATTTGCTCGACACGGGCGAGTACCAGATTGTTCCGGAGGCCTCGTCACTTCAAGAGAAGAAGGAGGAACGTGCGGAACGAGGCTACAACCGTAGATGATGCTTCCGAGAATGAAATTCCGGGAGCTGTGATTTCATGAGTGCAGGGCTCTTCTCGTTCGCATCATGTACACCCCGCTGCTGTTGCGGCACGAACGAGGGGCCCCTTTTGTGAGCCTGTTAGCTACGCAGTTATGGTTGCTGAAAAGCGTGTGCCGTCTGCAGAGCTGTAAGACGTTGAGCGGCTGTGTGCCTAGAGATACCACCTGCAACCACAGTTTTAGGGTTTAGGGGTTTTAGGGTTTAGGGGTTTTAGGGTTTAGGGTTTTTGTAGGGTTTAGGGGTTTTGGGGCTTAGGTTCTCTACTCCTCCAGGGTTATTGTAGGGCCCTTCCGTGTTTCAGGATGTCCTGACGTGGAAAAATCAGGGCTTCGGGTTTAGGGTTTAGGGTTTAGGGTTTAGGGTTTTGGGGGTAGGTGTTCAGCTGAAAGTAGAGTATCATGCACCCCAATACCAGTCCTTGAGCATGTATTCATGAAGCCGGGTTCTTATTAAGGAATTTACTTTACGTTCTACCATAAGACAGAAACCGCCCCATTTACCATAGATCCCTGCTATGGTAGCGTAAACCCTAAACCCTAAACCCTAGTAAGTTTGAACCCGGGAAGTGCATCGGCAGTGCCCAAGGCGACGAGACATCTCCCTGCTTCCTGTGTTGGAAGTGAGGCAGGGCCATATGGGTGGCTGTCAAAATTAAGGTCCCTTCTTTGGGGTCCCTAATATAATACGGCACCTAATATTAAGGTACCCCAAAGAGGCGCCCTAATTTTGACAACCACCCATATGCAAGGCCCTGCCTTCGCCGAGCACCTGATTGAGGCCTAGGGCCTAATCGACTTCCTCCGATCCTGCACTTTCGCAGCCGAGGCCGACATTTTCCAGGCCGTTTGCCGGGTCATCGAGCCTTCTGCGAGCCTCCACAGCACTCTGGAACAGTTGATTTCTGAACTTGGGTCGGGTTCGCTCCCCGACCAAGCCTCCGACGTCCTGCTTGGTTTCCAATTGGACCCACATTGCGAGGCTCCCCTTGCTCGTAGTGCCTCCGGGCATGAAATGGCCTGAGGGGACCAACTTCGTTCCTCGTGTTGGTCCCTTCCTTGGTCCTTATAAATTCCATATTACGGTTTAGAATAAGAACCTACAAAAAAGTAGGGTTTGGTAGTTTAAGGTTTGTCTGGGCAGGCCTAGCAGGTCTGATTGCCTGCTCCAGCAGCCTCTCTTTCGCCAGCTGCCTTCGTGCGCTGCCCTGCCCGGTGGAGGCTGGCACTCCTTGCCTTTGTCTATCAGGGTTTAGGGTTTAGGGTTTAGGGCCACTTCGCATGCACCTTCGGCCGTCTCCCACCGTCACCGGTCCCCTGAAAATTTTTTTGGGGGCCTTCATGCAGGCCGCACATGCAGCGCAGACACGCTGCATGGCTTTGTACCCGTCTCGTATAGGTGGAGTATGTCTTCTGCCTTGCACAGCGCGGCCGTAGATACCTTATCTGCTTTGGTCAAAGATCTGACGAACAGTGGCTGCAATCCTGACCCTAAACCCCTGAACCCTAAACCCCTAAACCCCTGAACCCTAAACCCCGAAACCCTAAACCCCTAAACCCTAAACCCCTGAACCTTAAGCCCTAAACCCGCCTGCTTCTGCTCCGAAGGGGTTTACCCGGCCATTTCCTTCTGTTTCATCGCAGACGCGCTTGTACTCGGACCCTCAGCCTCGAGACAGAAAGAAAGAAAGCAGCCCCCAGAAGGCTGTTGGAATTATAAAGGCCCACAAATTGGCACGTTTGGTCTGGGCGCAGCATTCCTTCCTTGCACTTATGGGAGTTGGGTACGGTGGGAGTTCTTTTCGCGTGCTTTTTTGGTGGTTGTGTAGTTATTTTTGTTGTTTAATGGTATGGCTTAGTCTCCTTTGGGCCTCTAAGCATCCGTGACTGACCGGGGCAGTCAGGCCCCTGTGCCCAGGAAAGTATTCACCGTTCCTGAAGCTGTGATCGTTTGGGATAAAGTTTAGGATTTCGGAGATGGGACTCTCCGAGGTTTGTGTTTAAAGTTGAGGGGTTGGGGCGTGTTGGGGTACAATTGCCATTGCTTGAAACCAAGGCTGTTGGGAGTGCTGCGAGAGATTTTGCAGGAACGGCTTCTGACGGTTGGCTTCACCACGATTTTCGAGTACCTTTTCCTGCCAGCGCCTTATGTCGTGAACTTCTGCGAGCTCTTAAACTCTTAAGCTTATGCTGGACGAATCTTAAATCCATGCGAGAGTTGGGGGTGAGCTATCCAGCCTTGCTTGATAGCCTTGGAATGCGCGAGCAGAGACTCATCAACAATTTCTGTCATCCTGTGCATGCAGGCCGCACAAATTCTTTCATCCTGTGCATGCAGGCCGCCAGGGCCAGCAGCAGAATTTCCCTAGCACCCATTTACAAAAACAGACTCTTAAACGGTCCTAAACCCTGATGCTTTAACAGATAAATGCGCATAACCCGGGAACGTCCAGACAGCAATAGTACTCTTGCAGTAGCAGAAACCTCACAGAACTCCACCTAAATCCCTACCCTGACCCTAAACTGGAGACCAAAAAGCTCGCAGAACTCCACCTAAACTCCTACACCCTGACACCAAACTGGAGAGAGAGGGGGGAGAATCTCAGGCTGCGGGAGGCGTGCCAAGCGCTGTCTTCGGCAGGAGCCACGGGCCGGGGGCAGCGACGCCTAAACAAAGAGACTGCAGCACTTCGTAGCTCAGTAATATGGGAGTTTCCGAAAATAGGGGGACCCTAATAATAGTCCCCCCAGATCGTAGGATCCTTAATATCAGGATCCCAAAATATGGTATCCTTAATTTTCGGAAACTCCTATATAGGGGCCTTAAGAATTACCTATACTATTTTGGTGGTTCCTTTATATAGCAATACTAAAATGGGCCCCAAAACCTTGTTCTAATTACTAAGGCCCCCTATAGTAGCCTTTAGCTCTTCGGGGTTTATGTAATCCTACCAGAAGTGACGGGGTTAACCGGTTTTTGGGCTATGGGTATTTAGCCCCTAAGAACAGCACTTCATCATGTAGCTTGTAGCGTCTTAAAGGGGCACGGTGGGGTGCATAGGAATGTATGCAGGCTTTTTGAATGATAAGAGTTGTTTGTCAAATGCGATTTGTAAACTGTCGAGTTTACCAGGGTTTTATGGGCTTTGATACCGGCTGCTGTACGGGGAAGCCGTAGACCCCAAAACCCCTTGATTGAGGAGCAGACTGTAAATTACAGCGGGATTGTCAGACTGTGGTTTAAGGTATGTTGCTTCATCACCGACTTTTGGACCAGAAGGAGGGTGTTCTGACAAGTTCTGGTCAGTGGGTCAACGAATTACTGGGAAACCCTGCGCTATCCTGTTGCCAAGCCTGGACATCAAGGCCTTACAAAGACCCTGGACACTGCAAGACTCAAACAACGCCCTGTCGAAAAGCTTGGGATACGGCGGGGCCTTTGGGGGCCTGGAACTTATATTAGCAGCAGTGATAGTTCTAGCACGCGGAGCAAAAGCCGGTGCGAAAAGTGATATCGAGGATCGGGGCAGTGGTAGTAGACTAGATGGTTGTGAAGTTTTGGATTTAGGGTAGTTGACTAGCCTGACTCGGGGGCACATCTGCTTTTTGTGAGCATATCGCAACCCACAGGACTACCGTTTAGTTGATGCACCTCATGTCCACTGTCGGGGTTTTGGGTTTACGGGTTCGGAGTTCAGGTTGTTAAGGGTTGGCGAATTAGGGGTTGGTGCTTAGTGTTTGAGGTTTAGGAAATTGTGGTTTAGGGCGGTTTCAAGTAATGCTTAGTGGTGCAACGTGGGGTGATGGTGGCGGACCTAAGTGTAGATCAGCGTGCCCGAGGCGGATGATGTTCAAAGTCGCCGAAATCCGTTGCAAGCTGGGGAGCGTACCGGCTACCCCGATATCAGCACGCCTACAGTGCATGCAGGATGTCCTCGGCACCTTGAAGAAGTTGCAGCAGTATTGCAAGCAAATGACCGGCTTAGCTTGCAGGGGCGTCGAGAAGGGCAAAGGCAGTGGCGCGGGTAGGGGCAAGGGCAAGGACCGGCGAGTATCATTTCGAGCATCAGATGCCAACTTGGCGCAGGTGGCGACTGCAGCAGCAGCCGCCACGGTGGCGGCCCAACCACTTTGCCCTGCTTAGCCTCGGCTCCTTTCTGTCGAAATTCGCCCATCAACAAAAAACCCTGGACTGGCAGCCGCGACCCTACAGCTGGATCGCCTTGGAGGGTTGCTTCTTGGGTGCAGTAGGTTTTGATGTATAGACCAGGTCATACAATCGAGCCCCGCCTGTAGGAGCTGAAAGGGTACGAGACCGCAGTGTCAGTTCCTATTTTAGGACATCTTTGTCGCAAGTTCACAACGGACGACACATCGGCGAGGCGACCAAGCCAGCCCCAGGAGACGACGCTTTTTCGGGGAAGAGGCAAAGAAGGCGGCTCTGGCAATCGAGTACCATGTTTCGAGTGGCCCCAACCGCGAAAACTGGTTAGGCCCTGGAAACTCTCAGCTTTGCCACCGCAATTTAGCTGAGGCATTCAGCATGGGTGTTTGCATCTTTGGCACGCAGGCAGAGGCACCGTTGCGTGAGCAGTGCCTGTTGTCACAGCTTCGCAAGGTGCTACAAGCCAAAGGCTTTCATGACATCTTTTGTCGCTGCTTGGAGGCATATGTGCATGCCGAATGGATGAAGAGATGTCAAGTGTTCCATGTCAAAGCGCGTGACAGAATGGCTTTGAAGGTCGGCAGAACAGCTTTCTGAGCATCGAAGCCGTAGCCTTTGCTCAGCGGGAGCCGACCAAGTGGCGGCCAGGTGGGCCAGTTTCGTTAATGGCCTTGCTGGGTACGTCCGCGAGATAGGAACAGTCCAGAAATACGTGCAGTTCATGTGAGAATGCCTAACAGGTCTGATGGTTCATATGTTCAGATTCCGGAGCAGTAGATGGCTTGGAGATTGGGGACTGGGGGAGGTGCGGGGCTTGTGGCTTTTCATGGGGCAATTATAATGAGGAGGGCTGGGGATTCCAAGCCATGTGGCGGTACCAGCGAGAATCCCGGGCTTGCAGAGGCGCTTCTTGGAGGTGCAGCGAGTTTGCCGATGGGGCCGCACCAGCGAGAAGGGCTGGTTCGCGATATGTCAGCAGGGCTCCCTGCTTCTACCGAACATGAGCCAGAATGACATCAGCTTAAACGTCGAGGGGAGCCCGTGCGTCGCGTTCTCACTCCGCTCGACAGCAGTGGCTGCTTTGATATGTCTTGCCAAAACGGCAGAAGCCGGAGCATACTGGATTCTTCAAGAGTGCCCGCACCTGTTTCCTTCGAGAGATACGTGCGGTTGCACCTTCCCTGCGGAGCAAAAATGACGCACATCCATGCTGTAGGTTTCTTCTGTGGATGCTGATTTTAAGGTTTTGCGAGGAGCTTCAACGAACCCTAAGCAGCACTACATGTTATGCTCACGAAATCGGGCCCTGAACCCTAAACCTCAAACCCTCCTCCCATTTAGGACCGTCCGGTCTCATCCTCCTCGCGGCGGCCGTCTCGGATTTCTACGTGCCGCTTGCCTTGGCAGTGAAAGTTCCATTGGGGTTTCTGAGAACGGGGTTTCGGGTTGTGGGGTTTTGGGTTTCGGGTTTTATATGGTTTTATTGTTTAGGGCTGGGCCTGGCTTCAATTTGTAGAGCCTGGCAGAGGGGCTTGGGCTTTAAAGCTTGGGTTTCTGAACGTGAGGAATACCTGTAGCATTTGCAGGTGGGTCCTTGTTGATGCTGTTATTTTGCAGGGCATGTGGGGTTTAAAAGTCAACCCTTATTGGAGCTTCGAGCTCATTTGTTTTGAGTTATATAGTTGAAGGCTTTATGGTGTTTTACGAGCTTCGTGACCGTACAACCCCAAACTTTTCAACGCCTCAACCTGTTCCCAAAGCCCTTCTACCCGACGCACACACAGACACACACACACACACACACACACACACACACACAGATGTACACACACACACACACATGTCACGCAGACCCCCGACAACACTAGCACTAGCAAACACGATAGCGTTGCCAAACCCTTTCAAGCCGTATATCATAGAATCTTTCCAACCGCTTTAGCTCCCAAACCCCAGAAACCCTTGTTGATCCGCTGAAAAGATTGTAGAACCGTAAAAAGTGCCTATACCCAGAACACTTTGAAGAACCCTTATAGATGCCTTGAAAGAGCATCTGCCGCAAAAAGACTGTGTTTTTTTGCGCCAACCGCGGGATGGACATAATGCCATCGTAGCCCAATAAAAACTCATAAGTCGAGCCCTATAAATCCCTTGGTTTGCCACAGAACCCTTCGTAAGAGAAAACGTTAAGGCCCATGTAATAAATCATAAACCCGTTAATACCCAACCCCCCACCACACCAGAATTGTAAAGCGGCATAATCTAAACCCTACATGCAAAGCCCGGCTATCATTGAACCCTTTTAGAGCTGCAGGGGCTTGTTTTGGTTCAGGCCCGAGAAGGAGATGTCCCGTGAGAAGATTCAGAGCCGGGTCAGGGAGCTCAGAGCTTTGTTGGTCAAGGGATTTGCAAGGGCTCTGCTGGGGTTTCGGTTTCCGTTTCTCTTTTCAAGGTATCTACAGGCTTTGTTGGAGGCTGGGTTAAAGCGTTTCTGCAAATGTTGCTATGGCTGGTACATGAAGGAATGCTGTAATTTATTACGTGTTCCTTACATTTTCTACGGTGTTTTGAACGTTTGGATGTAGGGTTTAGGCTTTGGGATTTGGGGCTCAGGGCCCCTGCGAAACTCCACGGAAAACTGACAACAGCTCAAAAAGAGCTCTGAAGCTAAGAAGCCAAGTGATCTGTTTTCGGGTGATAAAAGCAGGAAGTCCTGTATTTACGGCGCAAGAACAGTGATGTTGAGGGTAAGGTTAAAGATTTCCAATCAATAAAGACAGACGTCGCAAAGCGAATAAATCGCTTGAAGATGGCGATCTGCTACCAAACTAAAAACCATCTCGACGTTCTGAAAGTGTAGGGGTTCGGAGGCTCGAACACTCTTCCAGCACGCAGGAAAAAACACCACGGTGTCGGTCGGGTTCAGGGCGTCGTGGTTGAAGGTCCTGGACCCCTGCGCATTGCACTGGATGGTCTAAGGCACACGACGGGCTCACTGTGCAGCTGCGGAACGTGCCAAAGATGTCGGGGCGCCAAGCTGGTTCGATGGGGTCGAGGGTTTGGGGGTTGAGATTAGCTTTTGGTTTGAGGCCAAGACTCAAGCTTCGACTCACACATGCAGCGACGAGTGTCTCTGGTCAAGAAACCGTTCTTACCAAGACGACGCGCAACAGCTATTACAACAGCGTGAAGCTGCTAGCCGCTATCAGAACAGCGGTAGGCATGTCACAGTGCCACAGAAGAGGTGCACATGTTCGAGGGACCCGGCCAAGCTACTCGAAGGTTAGGCCCAAAGTCAGACGAGGGGCTTTCTTAAATCTGGAACCCGGAATCCCACCATAAACCCCAAACAGCAAAGCCCTAAAGCTGTCCTGGGTCCTTTTCAGTGTTGTCTGGATTTTTTCGGGGCGGTTATTTTGTATTGTTGATATGTATTTTTCCAAGGTAGCAATGAACAGTTGATGTCTTTTGAGTCTCACCATCATTGCTGCTGTGTCTATTGCCTGCTAAGTGGTTGTTTTCGAGAGGCTATGAGGTATCTTTGGCTGTTTCTTCTTGTTTTGCGCCGACCACGACATGGACGGCAACTACGGTGAAAACCCTGTATAAGAACTCCGTTCGGCGAGAGTAGCCTACCCTAAGGTTCTTAATTTCCATTACATGTGATTTTGCCGGTCGAGCAGCTAGGGTAGCCTCAGGTCCTTAACCACGTTCTTATCCGCGATTGGTACCTTGACTGAGGGCTCTCAGGAAATCTACTTTCGGATTCTAAATTTCCTTGTGGGGGGGCGGTGGGCCATGGGGGTCTGGACAATTTAGTTTTCAATTCCAAATTTCCACAGCTCGTCGAAAGGACTCGGGGCGCAGGGCATGGCCAAGGGCCGTCCAGAAAATTTACTTTTGGATTCTAAATTTCCTGGTGCCGGGGGTGTGGCTTGGGCCAAGGACCACAACACCGAGACGCTAATCCCAGACACCCCAAAAGAACCAGAATGATGCGCCACAATCTCAAGCACTTCAACCCCTAACAAGGCTGGGCGCAGTTCGCGAGTGGGCTCCCAATGCTGGGAACTCAGCACCTGAGACCCTGCAGAATGGACCGTTAGCTGGGTCAAGAGTTTAGGGCTTAGGGGTTCAGGGTTTACGGCGGTTTCAGGTTTAGGGGGTTTCGAAGGATTTTGCTTCGGTGTAAGCCGTCGAGCAGAACTTTCTCGCTTCAGCCTGTTTGACCTAGAGTTATTGAATTTCTTGGGGACGCTCTGACGAAGACATCGCCCCAGAAAGCCTCAGCGATCTTCCTTTAGGCCTTTGTGCTCTCCTTCAAGCTCGAGTGCGGGGCCTAGTCGTCCAGGGTTGTTAATGTTGAACTCACACTGTCGTTCGTGTGGTGACCTATGTCGCATCCCTGGACATCAATTGTGAAACACAGTAGCAAGGACAGGTATGCATGCACATTTTGCACTTGTATAGTGCACACAGAAAAGATACTAATATTTTAGGCCCGTGTTGATTGATCTACCGTGTCTTCCTTTGATGTGCATGGCTGTAGGGTTTGTCTTGCCAGCTAGCTCCAGCTTCGTGTCGGTTGCATTCCTACGCCTATTTTGCGAGGGTAGGTATCGGTATTTGTTTGATAGTAGTTAGTGTACTTGTGGCACTTGCTGTTTGTGGTCGTCGTCGTGTCAGCTGTATCCATTGTCCGCATGTAATCCTGGTTTTCTGACCCCACGCTTCGCTCATCGCTCCACATGTGACATGTGGGTAACCTCGGAACCCATTTTAGATCCCAAACACAGTACACCACCCAAGGACCGTTCAATGAAGTACCCATGTGCGAGTCACGGAATCTCAATCTGGCCGCTGGCCGCACAAGGACGAATCCCAACATCCTCCTGGCCAAAGCTGCTGGGGCTCTAAAGAAGTGACCCTGAGTCAAAGTGTCTCCCTGCACGCTAGACCCTAGACTCTAAACCCGACGAATCCTAAACCTTTCAACCCTAAACCCCTGAACCCTAAACCTTAAACCCTAAACCTCTGTGCTCTCAGAGTCATGGCAGATTCATTGCGCTGTCCTCCGTCTAGTCGACGATAGCCGTGGTCAAATAATCCGAAACCCCAAGCCAGATAATCTGCATGTGTTTGGTGGTGGCTCTTTGCAGTTCATATCTCCTGATCGTGATTTTTCCTCCTGGGCTTCTAACATACTCCGATGAGGGATAGCCAACTCCTAATCCCACAATACGCGTTAGACCTCATACCTTTATCCCGAAATCCGAATCCCAAACCCAAGAAAATTCTCCCTACACCCTAAACCCAAACCCCTTGACATTAAGCCTACACGTTTATCCTTGAACCCTAGTTAAACTCTTCATAAGCCTTAACCCTACACCTCTTGGCATTAAACCTGCACATGTCTCCTAAAACCGTGATCAATCCCTTCATGCTCCTTAACCCCGCACCTTTACCTAGTAGTACAGTAGGCAACCTTTAACGTTTTTGGGGTAGTATAGTCCCTATACAGTTCTTGTATATCCAAAAAGGTTAACCTTTATTTCCCCATGATACCCGACAAGTAGGATAATTGCCCCTAAATCCTCAACCCTCAACCCCTAAACCCTAAACCCCTAAACCCTAGCAAATTCCAGATTCCTAAAACTTTAGGCGGACGGAAAAAGGTGCCTTCCAAGGGCAAAAGGAGGGACTCTTAATAAGGACCCCTAGGTATATACCCTTAATGTAGCTATTATATACCCAGTATATAGCCCATTATAGGGTAGGGGTCCCCATTAAGGGGTCCCTCCTCTTCCCCTGAACCCTAAACCCTAAACCCTTATAGATCCCTTTAGAGGAACCCTAAGAGCCCTAAATTAAGGGTCCCTCCTTGTTCCCCTTTGATTCCTAGCAGGTACAAGGTCGATGCTGCCGGATCCCCGGGCTTCCCAGACCTTCCAAAACCCCTTAGGGTTTAGGGTTTATATGAAGTAGGGCTTATATTACCATTTTGGTGAGTGTGGATAGGGTTCCTTTTGAATTTTGGTGAGTGTATGTATTGGGTTTTATTATGGGGATACTAGTAACCCCTGCTGGTCGCTGTGCTTTTAAGGAATACCTAGGGTTCCTTTAAGGGATCTATAAGGGACCTGTATAGGGTTTAGGGTTTAGGGGACTCCAACATCCCTTGATTGAGGAATATACCTTAAATTATAGTAGGGCCCTTATATGATTTAAGGTATATTCCTTAATTAAGGGGGTTTTGGAAGGTCTGAGCTTTCGGGCTATCCCAAAGGGCCCGATGTACCCAGACGGGATCCTTTTAGGGGTTCCATTTAAGGGCTCCTATAAGGGATCCTTTAAAGTACAAGCCAGAAAGTTGGAATATCATTATCGTAAACCCTTTATGGTAGATTATAAGGTATCCTACCCTGAAACCATATTCCAAACTTTCTGGAGTTCCCTTTAAGCCCCTAAACCCTATAAAACCCTAAAAGCCTAAACCCTAACCCCCTAAACCCCTTACGCCCCTAAACCCTAAACCCTAAACCCTAACCCCCATAAACCCCTTACGCCCCTTACGCCCCTAAACCCTAAACCCTAAACCCCTAATGCCTTCAAGGTACCTGCTTAGGGCCTTCCGGGTCGTTTAGGATTTTGCTTTTAGAGTTTAGGGTTTAGGGTTTAGGGGTTTAGGGTTTAGGGTTTAGGGTTTAGGGGTTTAGGGTTTAGGGGTTTAGGGTTCAGAGTTTAGGGTTTAGGGTTTAGGGGTTTAGGGTTTAGGGGTTTAGGGTTTAGGGTTTGGGGTTTTTGGGGTTTAGGGTTTAGGGTTTGGGGTTTTTGGGGCTACCACAAAGAATCCTAAGTACCTAGATGCGGGATGCTTGCCCAAAGCACAAGAGTAATTCCTGTTGTAGAAACCCTACATTCTACTCTATATGTACTTGGGACCCGTTGTACTTAGGACCCTTTTTGGGTTTTGTAAGGCTTTAGGGAGTTGGGTTTGGGGAAGTTTAGGGGAATGGGCCTCAGCGCTTTGGGGCTTTGGGGTGTCAAGTTGATAGGCCTTTAGAGCCTTGAAGGGTTTTGGGGTTTTGGGCTTAGGGAGTCTACCCTAAACCCTAAACCCTAAACCCTAAACCTACTTATGTGGTACGCACACGATCTGGTACAGAAAAACCCGGGACCCCGAACTTGGCAGGCCCTGAACCCTAAACCCTAAACACCGATGTCTCTTCTGCTCAAAAAGGAGCTTACAAAAAAAAAAAAAAAAACACCGATGTTTCTAAACCCCAAAGCCCGGAAACCCGTAAACGCCTAACCTTTGAAGCCCCAAAGCCCCCAAAATCTATAAATCCGAACCGTGCAGAAGTCGTGGCTTTGAAAGACCCGGGCTCCCCCAAAAGCTTAGCATTTCAGACACCTGCTTTTGATAGTGAACCGGGGAAATTTAAAACTTTTGGCCTTATATATTAGTTCGGTTTTAGAAAGTTTGCGCTTTTGGGGGCCCGGTTGTTGAAGAAGAGAGCCTGTAGCTAAGCAGCTCAGGGTTTGAGGGTTTAGGGCTTAGTGACTTAGTAGTACAGTAGGTAACCTTTAACCATGTTGGTATACTATAATCCTTATGTAACCCCAATATGCTGAACAAGTTGGGGGGAGTCTAGGGAGCATAGGGTTTGAGGATTAAGGTTTAGACTTAGGGACAAAGGCTTAGAAGGGGCTTCAAGTCTATATAGAGCTTTCGCCTGAAGAATTCATGCTTACAGGTCTTCTAGGGTTTAGGGTTTAGGGTTTAGGGAACACCACGACCCCCAGCATTACTTTGGGTGAGTGTGGTTTCTGGTGTATAAAGCCCACATCAACCCTACACCCCAAACCTGAACCACTGCCCTGCCGAAAAGACAGCTCTTGGCACGCGCGGCCACAGAGTTCCCAAGATTGGAACCCAAAGCCGACATGCGAAGATGACCGGCAGAGTCACTGAATTCTAAAAGGTACAGACGCTTCCCTAAACCTAAAGCCGGAAAGCCTAATCCTAGGCCCCCAAACCCCTTCAAGCTTCAGTCGAAGCCTAGGTGTGCTCAAACGTGCTACACACCATTCGCGACTGGGACCGGGGCTGAGCTGTTTGCCTGGACTGTACCAGGGGCCAGGTTTGCCGAACCCCTAAACCCCTGAACACAAGACATCACAGACTGCGGGTCGGTCGTAACATTGCTGGGAAGTGTTGCGCAGGGCAGCGTTGCATGTATGACGTGCTTCATGCCGGTACACTAACAGCGATTGCAGCTGCATTCGTAGCAGTAGTAGGTTCAGTTCGTTTGTCGGCAAACAACTAGTTAGTTATGCTGGCGGCAGACATAGCACTAACTGTGCTGTTGCAAAACTCGTAGCTACAAGTCGGAAACCTGATCATGTGAGGACAACAGCGAGAATCCTCGCATATCTTAAGGCTTGTGTCCAGGTCTAACAGTTTAAAGGTTTTAAAATGTTTGGACCGTCACATCCTCAAGCCAGCCTCTCCCTCAACGGGCCCGACGCCTTATTGGGGTACGTTTTGCTTCCCCTGATCAGTGAATATTTCAAGTTTCGAGGGACTGTTGCGATCGACACCTATACCAGTGCAGGAAATGATGTTGCTCAGGTCACCATCGTGGAGGCGGATCCAGCTGCGAGCCCAGGAACCCAACCCTCAACCCCAAGCCCTATTCCCTATACCCTAATCCCTAAACCCTGTGTAAACCCGAAGCCCATAAATCCTAATCCCTAAAGAGATCCCTGAACCAAGACCCGGAGCCCTCAATCCCGCCGCCGCAACCATGCACCTTGAATCCAGGCCCCCGGCCCTGCGCCCTAAGCCGTAAGCTTTTCATATCCACAACCCTGAACCCTAAAGTCCTTAGACCCTAAACCTTGAACCCTAAACCCTAAACCTTCTTAAACCAAGCCGAGCGTTACGAATATCCGGCGGACCGAGGAGGAGAGGCCAGAGAATGGAGATGGGCCGAACGGTTGCTTCGGTTGTGGAGAGGTCGGGTAACATACTGTAGAAGCTCCAAGCAGTAGCAATAAGGGCTTCTTGTAGAATCCGATACATTCCATAGGCATGTAGGTGGCACTTTGGGATGCGTTTCAATTTCGTCGATGGTCTTCCTACAGTCTTGGGGGCTCTTACCCCTAAACTCCGTGTAGAATAAAGACTAGTCTAGCTAGTTTTGCCAGTTCTTTAGTGTAAGCTGTATACTTACGCAGGGCCTGAATCTTAAACCCTAAGCCCCACTCCCTAAACCCCAGACCCTAGCCCTAAAACCCTACAATCTTAAACCCGAGTCCTGGCTGAGGCCGCCATGGGTATCGACATCGCTGCAGCAGAGATTGGTGGCGAGGAGACTTCTGAGATCGAGGCTGCGACCGGTTTCGGGTTTGGGTTTGAGAGGTTGCAAGTACCAGCAAAGTAGGTTGATACTTGGCATTTGGGCCCTTGGGCCCGTTCCGGTTTGGGGTCTTCTTGAGGTCAGGACAACGTAGGGCACATTTTATGGATAGGCAACCCCCCCAAAAAACATATTAGTGGTGCTTCCTTCTTGTGAGGTCAAAGGAGTGCGCAGTTACCGACTACCTCGCGGAGATGCGAAGAGTGTTGATGCTTGCGGCTCAGCTTTGGCCCTGATTTGGGGGTGTCCGAAAATAGGGGGCCCTAATCTAGTACCCTAAATAGTAGGATCCTTAGTATAAGGACCCCCAAATAAGGTATCCCTATTTTCGGAAACTCCCATTTGGGACGAGGTTTCTGCAGGTCTTCTTTTACGCGATCTGCGTCTCTACAGAAGCTCTAAGCCCACAGTTCCAAGACTAAGACAGGGGCTTCATTCCCTGAGCAATAAATCCTAAACCCTACACTTTGTTGGGCCGTCTTTCATTTACTTGTGTTCAGACAGTCTGGCAAATTTGCCTTCGGCATGATGGCACCCTAATGTGGGAACCTGATTAAGAACCCCTGGGCCTTTGTTAGGGTTCCTTGTTTGAATCCTAGTATTTTGGGGTTATAGACCCAGCGTTTCTTAATCGGGTTCCTACATTATGTTCTGGAATCCTGGAACCCCATTCTAGATCCCCTAAAGAACCTGTATAAGGTATCATGCCCGGCGTCGAGCCTCAAGAGTATCTAAAACCCTAAGCAAGCAAGCCACAGTGTGCTCCTTCGGTTTATCTAGTTACATCCCTGCCTCTCTCTCTCTGTCCCTCTCTCCCTCTCCCTCTCTGTAATACGTGTGTATATGGTGTGTATCACATGTATAGATAGAGGTGCATACATGCATACATCATACATACATACATATGTGCATGCATAAAAACAAGCACACATACTTAGAGGCTTACTTGCATGCATACATGCATACATGCATAGTAGCAGCTGGTACAGAGAGAATGCGATGTAGACTCATGTAGACATGCAAATATTTATACGCACACACGCACATTGTGTGTATATATATATATATTATGTGTATGTGTATTTATATATACAGAGATAAAACAAACGTTGGCGTGGAGGGTACATAGGGCCGTGCAGTTGCGTGTCTTACCGCCATGCTCCCTGCACCCTAAACCCTAAACCCCCTAAACCCTAAACCCTAAAACAAAAAAAACCCTAAACCCTTTGTTGGCAGGTTTTGCGGGTTTGGAGGCTTGGAGGCTTGGGTCCTAGGAGCTTCGGGGAGGTGGGCTTAAGGGTCCTTTAAATAGGATCTAAATGTCCCTTTAAAGGGGATCTATAGGGTTTAGGGGTCCCTTTAAAGGGGATCTATAGGGCTTAGGGGTCCCTTTAAAGGGGATCTATAAGGTACTAGAGGGTATATTACAGGGTTTAGGGGTTTAGGGGGTTGAGGGACTCCATCTCGTTGTATGGGGGGGGGCGTGGGGGGCTGATCTCGTTCTGGTGGCCGGCAAGTTTTTGCGGAAAACCGGGGACCCGAATGTATAAGGTACCCCTAATTTTCAAAAATGGGTTCTGAAGCCACTCCTGCCAGCAAAAGTCATAGCAGCGCAGATCTACCTCTTCTGCTTTTTTTATAGAAGCCTGGTAGAACCCTTTTTAAGGACCCTTACGGAACCCTTACAGTAGCTTCTATGGAGCTCTTGGCCACAGAGGTCCCGCTGATCGCCACGATCGCGAAGATGCATGGCATCAAGATAGAAGGCTGGAAACTTTTGGGGTTCTGGACCCAACACCCTGAACCCTAAACCCTGAACCGTAAACCTCAACCCCAAACCCTGAACCCTAAACCCTGAAGGGGTTCAGGGTTTTATCCTAGGGGGTTTTAGTAGGGATTAGGGTTCCCATAATAGGGTTCATGTAAAGGAATCCCTACCCAAAACTCCCCGTTTTGGCCTCCCACCATATGGTTTCTTTTAGAGATCCATATGGCAGAGGGGTCCTATAAGCCTAAGAAGTAGAGTAGGTAACCTTGAACCTTTTCGGGGTTAGTATATTCCCTATATAACCCTTATATTATGCAAAAAGTTAACCTTTAGTTCCTCATGATACCCTAAACCCTAAACCCTAAACCCTAAACCCTAAACCCTAAACCCTAACCCGACAAGTAGGTAAGGGTTTAGGGTATGGGTGTGAACTGTGGGGTTTCAATGTAAACTCGCTAAACCCTAAACACAAGGACATGGGAATGGGGGGTTCTACCCATAGGCCCCATAATAATTCCTTTTCGGGATAGGCGTTATAGGATTCTACATCTGAACCCCAAAAAGGAACTACTTTGGGGCCTAAAGGGGTAGTGTTCAGGATTCGGATGGCCCGGAGCGCAGCATGCCGAGAGCATACTGTGCCTGAGCCTTAGCCCTAAACGCTTGCCCCCCTCCGCCCCCGAACAAGAAATACCGACACTTCTAACCCCTATGCACCTAAATTGCCCAGACCTTCCAAAACCCCTGAATCAAGCAATGTACCTTAACTTAAAGTAGGATCCCGAATTTAACTTAAGGTATGTTCCTCAGTAGTAGTAGCAGTAGTAGTAGTCGTCGTCGTCGTAAATTCCTTTATAGAACCCTTATAGATCCCGTTCAGGAACCCTTTAAGGAGCCCTTTAAGACCCTCAACTTCACGGGGTTTTGGAGTCTCTGGGTAAGCCAGGCCACCAAGTGCCTTCGGTCGCGCCGGCGACGGGAGCAACTCCGATCGCTGAGGCCGGTACATTAAGGGATACTGTAAGGGTACCATACCCAGACCCCCGAAAGGATCTAGAAAGTAGATCCCCCAAATTTGGGGTCCTATACTACTAAGGGTACTTTATAGGAACACCCATTAAGGCATCTACTTTTCGGATCCTCCCGGGGGTGTGGGTAATGAGGGTTCCCCAAGGAGTAGAAGAACGGTTTAGGGTTTAGGGACTGTGAGGGAGGTAGCAGGGATAGTTTCAGGCCTGTGCAATCAGGCATAGAATACTGTAACGGAAGTCAGAAGGTCGAAGTGTTGTAATCGATTTTTGTTAAGGCTTCCAGAGGTCTTTGGCGAGATGCGGTAAGGGTTCTATAGAAAGTCTTAACAAGACTACGGTGACTATCACGGGTGTACTAGAAGGGTTTTACGATTTAGCGGCCAAAGGTTTGTTTAGGTATTCTGTAGTACGCTTGCCTCGGGACTGGAAGGGGACGTGATTGCTAGTCATTCAGACCAATTGTTAAACACATAGCATGTTGGCAGCCCGGCTCCATTCCC